AAAAAAAAAAAAAAAAAGAAAAAGAAAAAAGAAAAAAAAAGAAAAAAAAGGTTTTTGTAAGGAATAACGTATTTTCACAACCATGTATATCTTTATGAAAGTTATATAGGTGACAGAATATAGAGACAGATGGATGATAGATCAATAGACAAATAGATTGATAGGTACTCTTTGGCTCGTTACTTTAACTGTAACATGCTCATGTAATTCAACTATTAAAACATATATTAAGTGAATACCATGCTGCCCAAAACATATGATATGTCAATGAATATGTAGAGAGATGAGAGCTATTACCTAGAAAGCATTTAAGACCCAGGAGATTCAAGGCGTCAGGAGGAACGGCAGCCAATGGTTATTGTCACACACATCCCACAATAATGTAAAGATATTTTACAAAAATAATGCCAACTCAGTTTCGTGATATTCTAAATTAAAAGAAAATGAACACCTTTCTAAAGTGATTTCTTACTATATGAATGAACATTAAAATATTGAAAACTTAAAAAATCCACCACATATCTTGGAAAAATAATAATTCTGAAAACCAGAGAGTTCACAGACTTTAGGTTGAAGTCTGACCAGTTTACAACCAAAGTTTGTGTTCATAGTGAGTAAAAACAATCAGATAGTTTAGAAAATAATCCTCTTTCATGTCCAAGATATGTATTGTTTGAAGACTTATAGAAAACTTTCTCCTGGAAACTCAAAGCTTACCTCCCCTTGCCTGACAACTTTGTTTCTTTAGAGTATTGGTACTGAACATTTCTCATGAGTAACTTTTTATGAAGGCACTGCTGAGTTAAAAGTTAGTTCACATGATCTGTAGAAATCAAGATAGGACACTTCCTGATTCCATTAGACTGTCATAAAATCTAATTAGTTACTATATACATACCTTCACAGTGGAGCCTGCAATCTAGAACCAATCAATGTCCTTGAAATTATCGCTTTCCTCCTAGGCATTAAATAACAAACTGAACACTGCAGTTGGTAAACCAACCACTGAAGTCTGAAGATTCTTTGGTAGTCAGGGTGGCAGGCCATTGTGATGTCAAGATTCCAAGGCACATGCTATAACTGACAAAGTGACAAGTGTATTTCATGTCCTTCAATCTTTTGGTTTTAAAACCATATTCTTTTAACAATTGTTGAACCATAGGTATTTTTATTAAATAATAGATTTTCACAAAAATATGTGTGCTATGATAGATAGTAAATAATACGAGTTCATGAAAAGGAGAAACATTGTGAATATCCAAATATTACCAATAAATAATT